AGCGAAGCTTTCCTTATGAATAAAGATACTTGGGATTATTTGCCCCAATGTGCATCACCTTCGTTTTTTCTTTCAAAATAGGAAGACCTAAATTTGCGACCAGCGATATCTCATCAAGAGCACTCTATGCCGATCGCGACCGGCAACATCCATAACGTCTCATATAACTTGAAATTATCAGCAAAAGCCGAACAAGATACACATTTCGGCAATGGTATGCGTGGGAGTTTATGGGTATAGATGTATTAAGAATGGGGGATAATACCCATCCTTGAGGTACAACACTTCGCATCATTTAGGTTCAGAGAAAGCTTGCTGACATGAACTACGAAACATTTATACTCTAAAAACGCATTTATCCAAGCGATTATTCGTGGATGCACACCGACTACTTTCAGTTTATTTATTAGTTCACTATTCGGGACCTTATCAAACTGAGTTCAGATCGAATGTGTTTATATACATAAAAACAAATATAAAACACATATGCAAGAAACTACGGGGTCCCTAAAGAGGATGACCGAACTTCTAACACAGGACGGGCCGAGCGTCCTGTGCTGCCAATGCTTAAGTGAACCAAGAAGTTTTGGGTTTCTCCACAGAGTCGGCCGCTGGAGACACAATCCCATGGAACGGGCACTCAACAGCTCCCTCCCGCAACAATGTTCATCTACAGATTTCCACATTTCCTCGCGCTCATGCGTCATCCACAAGATGCCAAAAGGCTCAACCGCTTAGCAATAAATCCGCAACTGCGGGACCAGCCCAGAACATAGCTAAGTATAATACAAGATAATCAATAATGAAAACGAACGTCGGAACCGAGGGCTGCTCTCACGCGCAGTCTTATATACCCCGAAGTTTGTGCTCCAAGCCGAAGTTGGTCCTGCAGTAGCCTACAAAAGGCGCGAGATGGACGCCGCATACAGCGCCCCCGGCACCTGTTCCGAGGTGCTCTGTATCGCGAGTTGCAAGACCTCAAGCTTCTGTATTTCTACTCTGGAGCGTTAAATTAGTATTGCACCTTAACTTTTTAAAAAGTCAGGGTCGGTAGTAAACCTATCGAAACTCAGAGTTATAACTCAGAGTTAACTCTGAGTTATCTCTGAGCTAACGCGCAACTTTTTGACCCCTTTAACAGGTGTTTGAACAGATCAAATCCGGAAAGCGATTATGGCAGGATTCTCCTTAACACGTAGTTTATTCCTAGTAGCGCAAAATTGTCCAAATTCGTCCTGCACAAGAAACAGCGCCACCAAACGCGCAACTAGTGTCTGCAATAACTCTGAGTTTGATGCGTGTTCCAGTCTATCGTGGAACTCAGAGATAACTCTGAGTTTGGTCAGAGAAAGAGAAATAGTGCGCAAAAGAAGAGGGGCAGCTAAAAGTCCTCCGGGGTACATTTTGCTCGTAGTTTAAGCAGGCATGATGGGGGTATCGTGGTGCGCAGTGATTTACAAAATTTTGAAATTTTGTAAAAACTTGGCCCAGGGGGTTATTCGGTGCGCTGGTCACGCTTATGATACTTATTTTTCACTATGGGGTCATGTAGAGGTGTTACGGTAGGTTTATGGTAGATGGGAGAAAATCACGAAACTGATCGAAACTTGGTACACTAGTATTCGAGGCGCCGATAACGAATATGGCATGTAGATTATACTGCAGTGTCATCTGACGGGTTACGGTAGGTTTACGGTAGATGAATTAAAGCTGCGGAATCAACCGAAATTTGGTACACTGGAGTTATTCGGGATGCAGATTACGGACAATCTATCTGCTACATACACTGGTAACCTATGGAACGGTTACGGTAGGTATACGGTAAGTAAGACGAAATCATGGAAGGGCAAACTTTGCCCGGAGGATTTATTCTGTGGCAAATCCTAATAGTCAATTCCATCCGCTTTCTCTATTGTTTGCAACTTTCAGCTGCGCAAAAGACCAATCCTTGTGATGAACCATCACTGCCCGATAGAAATGGGAAAAAGTGAGGCTTTGATATAACTTGTTTTGACCTGCTAAGTGTTAATGGAATGAGTGAGTACATTATGGCAAAGCAATTTTAGGGTTCATGGGTGTGTCATGGTCTAGGGGTTTAGTGATAGGATCTTTACGCTAGACCATACAGGTTCGAGTCCCTACTTTAACGTCGCTTTTGCAGCAAAGTGCTTAACAGCTCCTCAAAGCAAAACTCCGAGCTTGAGAGTTGGAATCCGGAATTACGAAAGCGGAACTCAGAGTTTCAATAAGCGTAACTCAGAGTTTCAAAAACGGAACTCAGAGTTATCTCTGAGTTAACGCGGAGCTTCAAACTCGGAGTTTCGACAAGATTACTACCGACCCAGATATTTCAGCAAAATACTGCGGTCTTCTATATTTCATTCTCGAGTGCTTGCTATGTTTCCTCACCTCAAAAGAGTTTTGCCTTTTTTCGATGAACTCCTTTGCCATCTATTTTTCAACATATCGCAAGGAAGTTGAAATTTTCCCATTCCTTCATGAAAATGTTAGTAAATGGTTTTATCTCAAAAAGAAAGGAAGGTTGGTCAAGTGGCTTTTTTAGATGAGAGTACAGTGTCTTGTAGAAAACGGAACGCTGATTACAAATCTACCTTTGCTATCTGCTGCGAGCTTCTGGGCGAGGAGTTATGAAGGTTTTTGTGAGTAAAAATTCGAATGCAAGACTAGTGTAAAATTAGTCGTAACCCTCTCCCAATGATAAAATGAGGCAACAGCAAGCCACTATTTTTGAATAAAAAATATTTGTTGCGCCTAGTGGTCTGACTATTAGTTGAACCCTAGAAAAAAGGTTACGACTGATTTTCCACTAATCTTGTATTTAACTTTTTACTCACAGAAATCTTCATATCTTATCGCTTAGAAGCCCGCAGCAAGCAAAGGCAGATTTGGAACCAGCGTCCCAAGCTCCACAAAAAGGTATACATCTCGTTTCAAAAGGCCACTTCGACCAACCTTCCTTCCCTTGTCAGGCAAACTGCATAAATCTGTTTTAAGAAATTTCTCGCAAATAATTTTACTCTCCTCGGTCTCTGTATATAATTTTATTTGGTAAAAACTTCGTTTGAAACGCCTATGTCATTTAAAAAAATTATCAGGTATTTTAGCAGAATAGCTGCAGTATCTCGAATTTTACGTGCTTTACTTCTCACAATTGTCGACATTGATTTGCTCAATTATCATTATCATTCCTATAATTATTACATGAAAATTTCTCTGCTTAGAGTTCTCTGCTGTTGCACTTTCGAAAAAGCTTTGAACAATCTATTCAATACCCCAGCTTTTTATGCGTCAATGCTCCTCAAATATAAGCATTGCACAACCTCAAAATTGTATAAGGAGCGAAGATTTGCTTAGGTGAGCATCTATTAGGTTGGCTAAAAAGTAAGTTCGTTTTGGTACACAAATTGTCATAAAAAAATTTTTCTTGTTGCTTTCAATTTATGATTCTTTGTGGGAAAGTAGCCTGAAGCTTCCTCTATCACATGTCAAATAATCAGGGTTTTCTATCGTCAGTAAAGACAGTTATACCTCAACATGGCGAAATTCCCAAAAGCTCAATTCTTTGACTTCTTGAGCTTGGTTTTCATGCTGCAATGGATGTAAAGAAGAGCAGTTTGGTGTTTGAATACGAAGGAGTTATCTCTATTTAGTGAACAACAAAAAGAACTGTGATCTGCCATTTTGAAAATGTTCCACTAAGAAAACCAAATTTCCTCGTATTTGCGCATTATGGGGAAATTGCAATTTTTCACGATTTTTCACTTCTGCGGAGTTTTGCTCTGGGAAGATAAGTTTTACTCAACCAGAATATATGCTCCAATAGCCGGCGAAGTGCTCTTTTCAGAGATACCTAACATTGGACAAAAATTTGTCTACAGCATTTGTAAGAGCTGAAAAACGACCGAACTTATTTATTAGCCAACCTAATATTATAAAAGCATAGACACCCTTAAGTGGGTCTCTTGAAGAATTTGAATCGGTAGCTTGCTAACAATAAGATGACCTATTGGGTAGATTTTGGAGCAGATTTTGGATAGACTGCAAGGATGCTGGACAGTTGAAAGCCCTTATGCAACTCTATCAAAAGTTCTGACAATAAAATTTCTTGATGAAACTAATTGCGACGCTTCCATAAAGAATACTTTGCGAAGAGAAAGAGGAAGTGTTTGTATTTGAAAAATTCTAAATTTGATATTTTGAATGTTGGCTACATATTTTCAAAGATATCAATTAGAATCTTATCATTAATTTGATTTTGTGAAGAGATTAGAGTACTCTGAGTAAGAACTGTGGGGGGGTATAGCGGTTATAAGGCAGCTTGGGAGAGGGGAAAGTCGCTCAGTGTGGGAAACAGGACCCGGATGGGAAGAGTCCACTTGGCTGATAGAAATTTGTCAGATTTGGGACGAGCGCTTGCTTCTCGGTGAAACGGAGTTGAGGGGAGGGGGAAAATCCTTAAAGGCAGCGTACACCCAAAATTTGAGTTACCGAATTTCCTAGATCTTTCTACACCGTGTATATACTGGGCCCAGAAGAAGACCAACTGCGTTGGTCCGGTCTCCCAATGTTGCTTCTGAGCGGAGAAAACCCCCCTCAATTTTCTTTCACGCCACCCCTTTTCTTTCGCTCCGCCTCCTCCGGACGAATCCATAACAGCGTAAGCTGCAATTGCAGTTGCAGTTGCTGTTGCAACATCTGTTGCATTTGTTTTAGATGTACGCTGCCTTTAAAGGCTCGGATAGCAAAACGCTATACAAAATTCTAGTATCTGCAAAGGAAGGAGCGATGCGGCTAGAAAAAGCTTGTAGAGGGCAGTTATACTTCTGTTGCCGCTTTTAATGAGAAAATTCTCAGAATCTTCGAAAGCAGCAAAAATCCATGACCTTGACCTTTAGGGTCGTTACGTTTAAATCCGTTCCAAACTTTTAGCGAGGAAAAGTTACGCCACAAATCTTCAAAAGGTCTAATCTTTAGTCACATCACACTTTCTTATCTTTAGGGCATTGCCAGTCCGAAGAGTTGCGAACACGCGGTTCGGACCAAAGATTGAAAAAGCAATATATCGTCTTCACACCTCTGACTCCGATATCTGGTTGGCAGCATCCGAAGCTGTCCGGCCCCTAAAAATGCTGTGAATTGTAACTGTAGATAACACATGATTACTTCAACGAATCATTTTTCTTAGACAAAACTGAGGCTACTTTGTCTGTAGAAATAGTCGTAAAGAAGTCCGACACTTTTCTCTATAAGTGCTCAAAAAACTTTTCTCTCTGAAAGTGCTCAGTGACATGAGGAATAATTGTGGGATGTAAGAATCGAATCATTATAGGCGAAACCTCAACAGTATACAGAAAATCTATCAAGAAAGTTGACATTTAGTAAATTTCCGTTTTTATAGCGGAAAGTTGATATTCTTGCCTTTATGCATTACTGTGAGCAAGAAAAAAGCAGAAAACTGGAATCACGTTTTAGCATCAGGTCCGCACGAGGACTGACACATATCAAGCTGGAGATCGTTCTAGGGTAAAGCAAAGAAGGTGAAAACACACACACACACACACACACACACACACACACACACACACACACACACACACACACACACACACACACACACACACACACACACACACACACACACACACACACACACACACACACACACACACACACACACACACACACACACACACACACACACACACACACACACTTTCTGTATTTTATGTTTAATTCGTATTGGTATCTTATTTTACTTCTATCGGACTTCTTATTTTACTTCTATCGGACTTTAAGTGTTAAAAAAAGATTTGTTGATGACCTTTTTCAATTCCCGTTCATAGTTCTTAGAGCTTAGAGCTTTGTCCACGGCATTATTCAGCGCATTATCGCCAGGCCTTAATAAAAAGTAGTAGATAATCAAGGGATGTACTAATCTGGATTGCTTACGTATATGTAACAATTTTCGAAGAGCATTCAAGGCTAATAAGCTCATCGTAATTCAGCTCGACATATTCGCCGTCTTCCAAGGAACCAAACTTAATGCATTTCCTTGCTAGCTTTTCTAGTTCGGGATCGATTCTCTAAAATGGATAATGGTAACTGGATAAAATCGGTCGCGTACGAACAAATAATCAAAGTGGGAAAGTTGCAAAATTTTAACCAACCAGATTGGGCTTTAGTCCGTTGGTGCAAACTTGTATTTTGCACTCGAAATGATGTTTTAAGCTCCAATACAAATCCGGATCCATTCTGTGGTGATCACAAAAACTTTGATGATTCATGTAGTATGTTTCGATATCTGATTTTGTTGCTGGAGAGGAAGGAGCCACGATCCAGAAAAGCTAAAAGAAAATTCATGCAAATTCATGACTTGTAAACGATAGTAAAATCACCACAAGCGAATTGAGCCAGAACATCATCATTGAGATGGTGGTTGACAATCAAATTATCTCTCATTATATATAGACTCATGAGCCTGTTCACAATAGCAGATGCATGACTTTTGAAAAGAGGAAGTCAATAGCATCCATTGTTGAAAAATTGCCTCCCCCAACTCTCTTCAAAGTAATAGCACTTTTTCATTGTTGACTTTCATGCACTATCAAGCATCGATCAGCCTTTGCAAAATCAGAAATGGATTTTTCACAAAACATCAGTTGCTCAAAACTAAATCTCTGCACAAGCTTAATATTAGAGATCTCTCTGCCTTCAACAGTGCATGATCAAAAAGAGCAATGTTCATGCTATTCTCACCAAGCTTGTCAGCTCTAGAAAAAGAAAACTCCTAAAAATTTCACACTCTCATATTTTGCATACGTGGAAAAGGGAGAAATGCTACCTGTTGGCATTATCTCTGTCTTCATAGCCTTTCTTACACTTGCTGTAAAGGCAAAACCCTAACAAATTCTAATTCTTCTTTATTGTGTGAAAATTCCATTTTCAAACATTTTGTGGTAGATATTTTATGGATAGATTCCGAGAGCTCAGCAGTAATACGTAGGAAGTTCTGAAGCTGAACTCTACAACAAGGCAAGTTGGAAATTCGCAAAATATGATTCGGGAAATTCTCAAAAAAGCCAAAATTAGACGTGTAATGTGCGAAATGCATATATTGAAAATCCGCAATCCTCCACATATTTTGGAAATGGAAAATTCTTTTGAAAAATCGGTGGAGTTTCTTTCTGTCAAGTGTAACAAAACCTACTCACGCAATTCACCGGAATACGCAGGACAAGCAAAATTTGCAGCGGTTCCGCAGGATTTTGTTTGCTGCTGTAAAAGTGAAAACGTTGGAAATGAAAACTTCCGCAGGATTTTCACGTCAGAGCGGTTGAAAACGGGAACTTATGCAGGACTTTTTACAAATCTGCGGAACTTCCAAAAGATGCCAGCTGTTCCGCAGCACTCTGACATGCCAGTACTTCCGCAGGGTTTTGAATACTCTGTCTCGTATGATGTTTCTCGCCAAAAACCAGAGTGCATCATCCAACATGTCAGCCGTAGTGCAGAATATAGTGGTGAGTCTCACAGTCAAGTAAGGTTCAAATCTCACCTAGGCGTTCTCTTTTGCTGTTGTGGTTCGCATTCTTCGGCACTTCCGCAACACCTCAGTTGGGAACTTCCGCAGGTGACCCGGCGGGAGTTTTCCAAACGTTCTGCGGACGTTCCGGTCAATTGTCTGAGTATGCAACGATCTAATAAATTTAACAACCTAGTAATGGCGAGAAGGGTACTTCTCTGCGCTTTAGTAAAGCAGGTGCGAAAGCGTTTACATTCTATTATTTTACTTCTTACTTTTTCATCTCAGCTATCAAAATCCAATTTGAACTCTATAGTAAAATAGAATGTAATAGTATAAATAAGCTTGAATACCTTTTGAGGTAGCAGGCAGAAAGCCTTTGAAGGGATTACAATGAACTACTAGTTAGAAAATCAGCTACTTTTCTTCCCTTCATGGAGCTCATAAAAATCTCATCGCAAGTGTCTAGAATCTGAGTTTTGTCCGTGATTTGTTAGATCATTGGCTCGATTTTTTTAGAAACTAAATAGTGAGAGTTTGGAGACAAAGAAAATGAGTGTTTTTAAAGTCTTAAAACCCTCGCAAGTCGAAAGAAAATTCAACTAAAAAAATCGCTGCAAAATTTTAGCGCTTGCTTTCACTTCATCAGTCAAAAGTTAAGATGGCATTACCCTCTGAGCAGGATATCTGGCGGAAAGACCTTTAATGGTCTTAGAACGTAAAAAGCCTTCAAAATTACCTGTATTGGGCTTAAACCCGATGATCATCACTCCCAGAAGCTTAAAATCTTCATTCTTTGTTTTCTGCAAGGCTGTGGATCCTATCTAATATTCTGAGTCATACAGGCATTATTCAGCTCTAATACTTATCTTCCCACATGCACATCAGCATATGTAAAGATGCTCCACCGCTGTTCTCATGGGATAATGTCTGCTCACCATAGATTAAAAGATGCATAGAATCTCTTGTTCATGGCTCTTTACCCTAATCGCACCTTTAAACAATTACCCATTCTCTGCAGGTGATTTACTCAACAAATTAGGTTCATAACTAATCACATTAATCTCAGTAGCTATAGTGATAGGTGTCGGCAAGTGACAGCTATTTAGACTATACAAGCTACATAGCTCAATATTCTCCATTGTTTCCATCAAAAACTCTTTTGCCCTACCCCCCCCCCCCCCGCCCCATCTTCTTACTAGCTTCGGTAGCTCCAGTTAGCTCCGTGTAAAGTAATTGCCTTAAAAGAGTAAATTGTTATTTTTCATCGATGTATATATATTCAATGTATAAAGAATCGTTAGCTCAATTCAAAAATCTTCCAATAGCGGGAACGTGGCTGGCCTTGGAGCGAACGCTCTTCCAATAGCACCTCTAGATAAGTGGTTCACTACTTATTATATATTTTCGAAATTTCTTGATGCACCCTTCCATACAAGTGTTATGAATGTAACGAGGAGGCAAGTAAGAGTTGGGGGAGGGGGGGGGGGGGGAGGGAGGGAAGATGAAAAATGGAGGGGCTACTTTTTAAGCAGTAAAACGATTCCTCTTGTTTCCCTCCCCCTTCACAAGAATGGATCGCTAAATCTTTTAATTTGCCTGTGTGAGTTGTAAAACTGTTCTCGTAATTTATTATAATTTGATATTTAATTAAAGTACTTTTAATATTTTGAATATTGAAGACAGCTTTGTAAAAATCTTTTTTTTCCCTGTCAATAGACTTAATAACAATAGAGGAAATATCAAAAAAAATTTGTACGTGACTAATGCCACGCCCTTTACCCAGAAATTTCTGCTCCCCCCACCTGCCCTGGACGAATTTTGGGACAACCGCTGTTTCTTAGCTAACATTACCTTCAAGAAACCTACTCCATTTTCCTATTTTCCTATTTTTTATTTCTACAGGGTGTCCCAAAAAAATGTAAACACTGTTTGATCGTTAATAACTCCGTTGCTTTCATGTCTTTCGCCGAGCTTGAGGCACCATTCTGTAGAGCGACGTTTAGCTTAGATTTACAGTATGGAGCGAATCACCGATCGGTGTTCGTTACTGTAGGATTACGGTATGAACTTCGACAAGGATTTTAGGCCATTGTAGGCCATATTCTGCCCCGAAACAAAACCAAACAACCCAAAAACTTTTATACTATGGTAATGGAAGACGCTAATTTCGAATATGAAATTTCCATTTTACTGTGATGCTTCTTTCCAAGGTTATCCCATTTAAACCGTAATAACTGAATTTCTAGCATTTGTCAGAAATGTGACTACACGTCAAAAAACCTAAAAACACTCGTAACAAGTTGTCTAATGGAATCAGCGCGCACGAAAACCCTAGTACAAGATTTTTCAGATTTTTTGAACAAATTTTGTCAAATGGCATATTTCACAATAAATTCATGCTAGCAGTTCATACCGTAATCTTACAGTAACGAACACCGATCGGTGATTCTCTTTATACTATAAATCTGAGTTGAACCTCGTTCTACAGAATAGTGCCTCAAGCTCGGCGAAAGACATGAAAGCAACGGAGTTATTAACGATCAAACAGTGTTCACATTTTTTTGGGACACCCTGTATTTTTGTTTCTAATTTCCTACTTTGTGAAGCCTTTTCCCGGTACTACTTTTTATACGAATTTTTTATCCCTTTCACCAGGCTTCTTCCTTGTAATAATCCGCGTTTTTCTGCTCAATTTCTAGTATTGCCGTATCCATTTCCCATACGTCATTGTGCTGTTCTGGCTTCAATTTTTCGGTTCATTGCTGTCGTGCTTTCACATTTCGCACGACATTTCTGAGATTGGTCCCGGTGCGCATTCGAATGGAACCTTTACATCCGGAGTCTAATGCAAGAACCTCAACGTACTAGGTCCTGATTCCTGCCGCTTTCAGAGATTTTTGGGGTCGAGAAATTTACTAATTTAACTTATTTGTCCTGGGATTTTTCTAGAAATTCTGTTAATTTACCCGTTGCATGTGTATATTTCATTTATTAGCATTTTGAAGATCAATTTCTTCCTGCCTTCTGCTCAAAAATTCATTTTTCGTGCTAAAGGATTACTTCGCTAACATTTTGTTCCGGGAAATTTGCACGAAAAAAACTTGGTAGATGAGAAATGAAAATGTGTTTATTGAAGTAAATGCGAATTCAGAGGGCACTCTAATGATTTACTTATGCTAAGAAAATAATCAAGTGCTCCTAAAAAAATCCAGCGTTATGACATTACGGAGACATATAGTTTTATAGTCCTTAGCATGATGAAATACTTGTCATGTGACCTCGTATCCTTCGAATGATTCTGTAAAAAGTATTGTTTTGTGGGAAAAGTTTCTCAATTTTGTGGATTTTTTGTTTTGTGATTTTTTTTTGCTGAAAAGATGGGATAACCAAGAGAAATATCTAATTAAAACAGAAACTAATTCATCTAAGTTTTTCTTTCCAAAATTGCCTAGCAACAGAAGGCTCAGAAAGTCCCTTTTCCTATCAGGAAATGAATGGAGCTGAGGCAAAGTAAAATTTGAGTCTACAGGTAGATTAAACCGAATATTCAGGCTGGGATTTTTGAAATTTTTCTTATTAGGTGCTTTTGGAGATATTTGGTCTGCCAAAGCTTTTTGTCATCCTAAATGTTTAATTTCGTTAGATTACTGTAACTCTTGGATACATCTGACGCAAAATGCAGCATTGAATACCAGGGCTCTGGAACTATGATAGATGAATCTTGTT